AGACAAGTTGCTGTCGTTTTGTTCTTCAGTCTAGTTGTGGAGGACATTGCTTCACTGGCCCAAGTTGGCACCATCATTGCACTCCTCCCGGGTGAGGCAGATCAGTCGCCGGCTTCTGGACAGCCACTCACGCTGGCTGCTGGCTACACACGGTAGCCCATGGCAACCCACTGCAGCAGGGGACTGCAGCCTACGCCGTCGCCAGAGACCCATGGCAGCCCAGCTCCAGGTTGAGCTGTTGTTCAGCATCTTAGCTGTAGAAGGCAGTGTCACTGGCCCTCCTATGTGGGATCCGAACCAGGGCCCTCTGGCGTCCCAAGCCAGTTCTTAACCACCGTGCCACTCGGCCAGCCCAAGGAACCATTCTTAATGATTAGTTAATAATTAGCTTTTCATTGTTAATCCCGAACACTGAGACTATTTGAGATCCAGTTAAAAATAATCACTTCATTGCTCAAGAGTTTGAGCTCTGAGCAACAGCAGGTTCGAGTCCCAGCCTGAGCTGAGCAGCCGCTGAGCTGAGCAGCCGCTGAGCTGCCAACAGGTGACAGGATGGCTCAGCTAAAAAAAAAAAAAAAAAAAAAATCACTTCACACTTTTTCTAGTCTTAGTGCTCTCTCTCCTCAGAGAGACAGCAAGAAGGAAGTTCAAGTGTGAGGTCTCTTTGGTCCTGTGAGTGAACATCCAGGTGTGAAGGGTCTATAATACTACTGTTTATCAAGAAAGAGCTGCCCAGCCTGTTTTGTCAGTTAAGCACTGAAGGCAATCCCTCCAGGCATGTTTCCCCAGCTAGAAAACAATAAAAAAAACAACACCTTATTTTACATAGTTGATCTAAGAATTTAAGGAGATTACAGACACAAACATACCTGGCACATTCCCAGGAACATACTAAATATTTATTGACTCCGATAACCAATGTTGTTCATGCTCAAATTTTATCAGAATGCTAACCAAAATAATGTTATCCCTGGAACTACATACTAAACTACATACTGAAATACAGATGGTTTAGGTTTTCTATTTTTCTGTAATTTCCTATTTTTCTTTCAATGAGTATATACCAGGGGGTGCCAAAAAAAGTGTATACACGTGACTTGTATTCATCTTTTGTTATCGGTATATTTTGAGTATTACAATTTTATTAGTTTTTTCCTTTCTTAAAATGTGTATACATTTTTTTGGCACCCTCTATATTACTTTTGTAATGGTGGAAGCCTTTAGGGCAGGTGACTCTTGGTTGGTGTTTGGGAAAACGTCATCAGGTTGGACTTATTTACCACAACATTTAAAAGACTAAGAGGCCCTTAACTCTCTCTGAAAAGAGATTTCTTTTTCATTGAAGGCTGTCTTGATGTGACAGGAATCATGGCTGTAGGGAACAAATATAGGTAACATGAAAGAAGTTATTTTCGGGCAAGACTCACCACCCTTTTCCTTTCTAGAAGTCTACCCTAGCGTTAGTTCAAAATGATGACGTTTTCATAGTTTTGTTTTCCCTCTTCTCAATTCAACCAGTCTTCTCTGAGCACTTGCTATTTTCAGGCATAGTGCTAGGCACGAAGGGAATTGAGGTAGTCCTTGTACTCAGAGTTTATTTCAATCCTTTCTTAGATTTTAATGTATGTGATTTGTTTTCAAATAGGCCAATCCCACCCCCCCAAAATGGGGGCATAGATGAAATAAGATTGGCAAAATATTGAGAAGTACTGAAGCTAGGTGACAGGTACCTGAGGGTTCATTTTCTTTTCCTCTCTACTTTTGGGTATGCTTGAAATTGAAATTTCCCATAATAATAAAAGAAAAGAATCTAGTAAGGAAGACAAACGTTTAACCAAAGGTTAATTCTTTAATTGAAGCATGAATTCTAAGTATCACATTCTTGGGAGAATCTCTACAAGCTCATGTTTGCACCACCATGGTGAGGAGGAAACACCAGGTGTCAACTCTGTAAATACTTACTAAGCACTTATCCACCAGGAAGAAAGGATGTGGTCTTCATTCAGCAGCCAAGGGTGCCAAAATAAGCATTCTGATATTTCTAAATCCATCTGGTAATCAGACACGGCATTTCAGAGTGGGCATGAAGTGGCCCCAAGCACATGGTCCTACTCGCTTGGACCTCTCTGGAGCAGCGGCAGGGCAAAGGCTGATAATTTGCTACTCCTTTTACTCCTGCAGAGTTCCCGGGAGCTGACTCTTTGCATACATGTTGTTCTACCTTCCTTGGGCCTCTGGTATTCATTCTCTTAATTATAGCTCCTTTACCAGCCTTCTGAGTGAACATTGCCCAGACTCTAAAGAACCAATGGTTCCCTGGGCAGGGGCAAGGGTGAGATAGAAATTATGGTAGCCATTTACATGTACAAGTCATTTAAACTCAAAGACTGAGCTCCTAGTGGCTAAAACTAGAAGCATTTGAGAAAGAAAAGAATGAAGGTGTGGACAAAAAAGGTGTGCTGTAAGAAGTCATAAAGTCCTAACTGGGCAGGTCATGATGAGCAGTCACACCCCAGGCCTATAACTTCCTTAGTGAAAGGTTTTAAGTAAGCCCTGTCCATTGTTCTTGTGCATCTAGGTTAACACACCTTTGAAATGCCAGAAGTAACACCCCTGGAAGGCGTAACCATCTTCAAGAGAGCACATAATCATAACTATCCTATAATCCAATCCCATCTGGTTTTTTTCCACCTTCAAGTAATCTTCCTTACATTCCCTCCCCAATTTCAAATGCATTTAAAAAAAAAAATTTACTCTCCAAAGCATTTGAGATCTTGCTTCCCAGAAATTGTCAGTTTGGCTCTGATAAATTCTTACAAAAATTCTCTACAGGTTTGGATGTTTCTTAAGTTGATAATGGCATTGTATTGTGACCCATAGAATAAAATGAATACCATGAGTCCACACTGATATAAATGATCAAATAAATACATGGGAGAGAAAGGGTAGCTCTTCCTACAGCAAACTTCCAATTAATAAGGAAGCAGAAGATGAAAAAAGTCACCCCTAAGCAAACACCACTGTAATCTGTAATAATTGTTACAGAAGAGATCTACCAACCGGTACTAAAATTAGGGGGTGAAATTTGAGGATAAACAGTATTTGCATAATCTCCCTCAGGATAATTATTAACTACAAAGGAAAAAAACAGTAACTTTATAGTGGAGAAACCTAGCAGATATCACCTTAACCAAGTGATCAAGGTTAATATCACCAGTGATAAAACCTCTCAATCTCATGAATCAGTGATAATATGACTAATCAGTAGTCTTCCGCAAAACTTCATTCTACAAAATAACTAACTGGCACTCTTCAAAAGGGTTAAAACAATAAAGTACAAGGAAAAACAAAACTGAGAAACTATCTCAGACTGGAGGAGGCTAAGGAGAAATAACTCAATGCAATCAGTAGGGTCCTGGATAGAATACAAAAACAGAAGAAAAAAGACTATTAGCAGGAAAACCGATGAAATTCAAATAAAGTCTGTAGTTAATTGCATTGATAACTGAACCATGGTTAAATAAGGGGCTAACATTAGGGAAAGTTGAGTGAATTCTCTATACCACTTTTGCAACTTTTCTCTAAGTCTAAAATTAGTTAAAAATTAAAAGTTAAAAAAAGTTGGAAACAGCATAACCCAAAATATGGCAGTAAAACTAACTTAATTCTCAAGGAGAATTACTGATTTTTGTATTCCTACTACCTCAAACTGACCTGACACATAACAGGTGCTTAATTTGTTAAATAATAAATGGCTTTCTAGGATATACCAGTTGACATACATACGGACACACTCAGGCTATTAGGGACATAATCCCAGGCTACTATTAAAATGGATGAGATGGCAAAAAAGAAGGAAAAATAAAGATTAATAAAGGGGAAACAGCGCTCCTCTTTCCTGACTCCAAGAGGAGTAGCTGCTTCCGATTTACCCTCCCTCCCTGAACCCACGGAGCACAATGGAGCAGTGTCCCCACCTCTGGGCAACAGAGACTGGATGGTCCTGCATCACCCACGTTACAGCAAGAGTTGTCATGAAACCGTCAGGAAACATGAAGAACTAAAAAACTAGCAAAGAACTAAAATTGTTTTGTACAGTATATGTTATGCAGCATAACAGAATTCATAAGAATTTCTGATGGGGGATTTTAATGGAGGTTCAATGTGCACTTATGTGTCATTTCCAGCTATCGCTGAGAACCCTGCAGTGGGCTCGACTGAAGTTCTTTTTCTGCAGTCATTAAGGACACATCAATCTGAAGGTTTGAGGTCTTAGGTAATAAAAAAACAAGGACTCTGAAAGTCACAAAGAGCCGAGTTCAAATCTTGTTAACAAATGCATGAATGACTCTGGCTGGGCAAGTGACCTAAATTTCTGAGTCTGTTTTGCCATTTATTTACAAAGCATTTTTCAAAGTGTGGTTCCAAATGTGCTTATTTTCTAATACAGAATGGAACTTGTTAAAATTGCAGATTCCTGGGCCCTACTCCAGAGCTAACGGGTCAGAGCAGCTGGGCCTAGGACTCAGGAAAATCAATTTTTAACAAGCTCCTCAGGTGATTCTTATACACATTAAAGTTTGAGAACCACTGAAATGAGAGAATGGACCTGGAATGCAATAGATCCTTCAGAAATGTTCATTTGCCTTCTGATGAGGAAATCCAGTGAGATATATGAAAATGAGATTTTAAATATGTATTTCAATAGTTTTTGTCTCCATCATTTAGAAATTTATTCTAAGAAAATGATGAGAGAAATAAACCAACATTACTAAAATAACCAAAAATTGAAAAGAATCAGTGTTAGCAAAAGGGAGCTGATTTAATTCATTATAGTACCTCCATATGATAGAACATATGCTTTCATTAAAATGGTGTTTAAAAAACTTAACTACGTGGTAAAGTGCTCATAATAGCTAAGAGATTTAAAAAAAAAACAGAATATAAAAACATACACAGAATACAATCCCAATTATGCTATATATGTGTGGTGTGCATGTTTCTTATACATAAAATGCCAGAAAGAATCACTGGTGGTTGTTTCTTAATTATAGGAAATTTTGTTTCTTCTGTATCTTCTAATTTTTCTAAAATGGGGTTTTTATGATCAGAAACAATGTTGGGTGTTTTGTTTTGTTTTTCAGGTAAAATGACTACATAATCATATTAAAATTTAGAGATGACACAATAGACACAGACTATAATTTTTAGTTACGTAAATTTGGCAGCAATTCATTCATACAACCCTCAAGGAAATCTCTCCTAAAGAAGCCCCAACAAGCCCAAATCTCAAAGAAAAACCTCAGAGGCTATCAATAATTGTCAATGCCAGAGAATCCGGTGGTCTCTGTTTGAAATTACCATTCCTAAACTCCACTCACAGAGACTTATTTCAAAGGCCTGAGGTGAGGCCAAGGAACCCAGGTAGGTTTGAGAAACCATTGTGCATCGATGGCTTTAAGAAAAGAAAACCATCACAGACTTGCTTTTAAATGTTCCTACTTTGAATAAAAGATCTTCAAAGAGATGGTTAGTTCTCAAATCACTTGCATTCATCTCTGGGAAAAGCACACATTACTTATTACTATCCCAATAATGTAGATACTAAATATTTATTCTATCAAGTGGCATATAAAATATAGTAACAGCTAGTTTTATCCCTACCCCTCACGATTCTGTAGTCCAACAGTTCAGTACTTCTCTTTAACAGATGTTTTTGATATGATAAAAGCATGGACCATTCAAGTTTTTTATGGGGTTTAAAGGGCAATTCTGCTCTAGAAGTTAAAACTCCAGAAAGATAAGCTATGGTCCCAACAAGCATTATCTCCAGCCCCCAGAGGCACATTCCAACACTCCTGCCCGGCCCAGATGCCTAAATCGCCCTCAACCCCTCTTTTTAAGCCCAATTTCTCAACCTAGACCCTGAATCCTATTCATCCCTATTCAAAATTCCTTGACTTTCTTGCATTTTCAATGTTATTTTCCTTTTTTAAAAAACAAACTTAGAAATTTAAAAATTAAACAACTCTCCTCAACTCTCAGATTACAATGTTCTTTCTCCTCCTTTTCATCACCAAACGGCAGGAAAGGTCTCCCTGTGCCCTGGGCCACCCCCACGTCCCCATCCCTCACCCATTCTTGAACACTTTTCAACGCGGTGCACGCCCACCCTGCTCGCCTAAAGCTACCAACCCAAAGGCCTTTTCTCAGTCCCAATCCTCCTGGACTTTTCTATTTTTTTTTAAACCTAGGTTTAGCCCTTGCCTAATGTAAGGCCAAACATCAACAGACGTAGGGATCGACAGACACTGGATGGACACGGCGCCTCACTAAGGGCAAGTGTTCCCCAAGTACTTTAAAATCCAGACGACTAGCACAACTCCTGCGCCCCTGCAGGCCCCCAGGCTGTCAATTTGCTGGTAGAAACCCTGGAGAAAGAGGCTCCGAGGAGGAGGGGGCTTTTTCACTTTGATGCGCCTGCTGGAAGAGAGTTTCTGGGGGGCGACCCCAGAATCGTGACGCCGGGTCGGGGGATGGGGTGGGACCCCCGAATCTCTCCCTACTTGTCAGCATCTCACCTGGCTCCCCGCGGGCGGCCAAGGGAGCGCCGGGGCGCCTCCAGCCCGGCTGGGCCTCCGCAGGCCCCCCTTCCGGGCCCCTCCGCTCCGGGGGAGGCAGGGCGGCCCGTGGGCGCCCCGACTCAGCCCGGGACAGACCCTGGCCTGCCGCCTGGCGATGCCCACGCGGAGCCCGCCACCACCCGGCGCAGGGAATTGCGCCTCCCGGCCGCCGGCGGAGCCAAGGCCCGACTTACCCCAGACCCGGCCGCCGCGAGGATCGCCTGGAGCAAAGAGTGGCGATGAGACGAGGCCGCGGGGGCCGCCCCAGCCGCCCGGAGGAGGCTCCAGAGCGCGGGCTCCGCCCCCGGCCCACGCCGACAGTCGCCTCGGCCTTGCCCTGGAGGCGGAGCGGCGGGTTTCTTAGCAAGCGCGGCGCTCCACCCCCAGCCAGACCGAACCCGGCTGGGCGATGGAAAGAGTAGCTGGAGGGGGAAGGAGCGGTGGACGGCTTGTCCTCTAAGTGATCTTAAAGCCTGGAGCCAGTATTGCGCCAGGTGCTGGGAGCTTCCTAAATCCCCGCCAATGCTCGCAAAGCATTGGGAAGAAGAGCCGAACCTGAGCCTCGCGCACGTCAAGCCAAGACCGCGGAAGAGCCCCGAAGAGTTTCCGAGTGCCCAGTTCTAAGCAAAAACGATGGAAACCCGCTCTGGAGGACGCATTCTTCATGTATTCCCATAGGATTCAAGCAAACACAAGTTCACAGTTTTTTTCTTTATTTACCAAGTACGGAGGCCACATATAAGTGATAGTCAGCAGAACTAATAATACCCAACAGATTTAGATTCCCCCCCTAAGGACATCAGATATTAGCATTATTTAAGATAGAATACAGAAAATATTTTTTTATTTTTTATTTTTAAAGGGAAAAAAAAAGGATTCCCTAGAAATTACCAATTACAATGGGGCTAGAGTACCATCACATTGGAGAAATCTGGCAGATAGTACCTTAACTAAGTTCTCAAGGTTAATCTCACCAATAGTACAATTTGGCATCTCACGAGGTGATGCTCTGAGGGTATGACATCACCTTTACTGTATTCCTGACAAAAATACACAATTGGATTTTAATCATGGAGCAACAGTCAGACAAACCCAAATTAAGGGATAGTCTACAAAACAACTGGCCTGTACATTCAAAAATTTCAGTGTCTTGAAAGACAAAGAAAGATGAGGAATTGTTTCAGATTAAAGGAAACTAGGGAGATTTGACATCTAAATTCCTGGACTGAAAAAAAATTGCTACAAAGTATACTGGCAATAAATATGTACACTGGCATAAATATGTACAGAGTGGTAAATTTAAATTTTGACATTTCTCTCACTGAGAAATGGAGATATATCTCCCCTCTGTTTAAACCTGGACTGGACTGTGACTGCTTTGACAAATAAGGTAGAGTGGAAGTGAAGCTATGCCAATTCTGAGCCCAGCGTCTAAAAGTCACTTTCGGCCTCCTCTTCCACTTTATTTTGTCAAAGCAATCACAGGGCAGCCCAGATTTAAATGCAGGGGAAATATATCCCCATTTCTCAATGAAAGGAATATTAAAGAATTTGAGGTTATTTTTAATCAACTACACAGTACATATTCATTTCCAATTGTCTCAATAATGTATAGCAACTTTTTTCCAATCTTAAGACCACACATGAAGGAGTCTCCTTAGAATCTGTTATGGGCTGAATCGTATCTGCCCAAAATTCATATGTTGAAGCCCTAACTCCCAGCACCTCAGAATGTGTTTGGAAATTTGGCCTTTAAACATGTAATTAACTTAAACAAGTGGGCCCTAATCCAGTATGATTGGTGTCTTTATAAGAAGAGATTAGGGGCCGGCCGAGTGGCTCAGTTGGTTAAGAGTTTGCTTAAGAGCACAAGCTCTGAGCAACAGGCTCCCTGGTTCTATTCCCACATGTGCCAGTGAGCTTTGCCCGAGCTGAGCTGCTGCTGAGCGGCCAATAGGTGGCAGGATGGCTCAGCTGGTGAGAGCATGTGCTCCTAATGACAAGATTGCCTGTTCGATGATGGGCTATACCCATCTGCGGCTGGGACTGAATTCCGCACCATGAGCCGAGCTGCTGTCCGGATGGCTCAGTGGATAGAGCATGCACGCTTAACAGCAAGGTTGCCGGTTCAACTCCTGCATGGAAAAAAAAATTATATATATATATATATATATATATATATATATATATATAATGAGAGAAGAGATTGGGACACAGACAACACAGAGAGGTGACCATGTGAGAACATAAGAAGGTGGCCACCTGCAAGCCAAGAAGAAAGGCCTCATAAGAAACCAAAACTGATGACACCTTCATCTTAGACTTCTAGACTCCAGAATTATGAGAAAATAAATTTCTGTTTTTTAAACCACCCAGTTTTGGTATTTTGTTATGTCAGCCTTAGCCAAACAATACAGTCTCTTTTAATCTGAAATAGTTTATCTTTCCTTGTCTTTCATGACATTGACATTTCCAAAGTATACATGCCAGTTGTTTTATAAAATATTACTTACTTTGGGCTTGTCTGGTTGTTTCCTCATGATTAAATTCCACTCATGCATTTTTGGCAGAAATATGATAAAGGTGATATCATATCCTCAGGGCATCACCTCATGTGAAATGCCAGTTTGTATTATTGGTGATCTCTAGAATTACTTGTTCTTTGAACCGTGAGCCAACATGTAAGAAGCCCAGCTACCCTGAAGCTGCAATGCTGTGAGAAAGCCCATGTTAGCCATGTGGAGAAGCCAAGAGTTGCCCAGCCACCCCCCAGCTGTTCCAACCCCCAAGCTGAGAATCACCCCCAGCTGAAGCTTCAGATGTCACAGAGCAGACATGAGCCCTCCTCACTGTGCCATACCTGAATTCCTGACCCACAGAATCATGAGACATAATAGCAATAAATTGTTTTTTTAAGTCTCTACGTCTTGAGGTCATTTGTTATATAGCAATGATAATCAAAGCAGAGCATATATTATATAATAGTCTATCATGTTAAGCTTCTTGAATTTGACCATTGTATTGATTATATAGAAAAGTGACTTACTGTTAAGAATTATTTCATGAAATACAATGTCTGCAATTTCTCTCAAATGACTCAGTTAAAATGTGTGTGCATTTGTATGTGCCTCTGTGTGTGTGTGTGTGTGTGTGTGTGTGTGTGTGTGTGTGAGAGAG